GATACTTCTTAGACATAACCAACCACCTTGAAGGATTGATTTCCTGGATTTGAAGGATTAGGACTATAATCTGGTGGGACATCTCAGTCAATTGGCATGATATAGTTCATAAAGTTTATGTTCTACATCCTAGTTTGTTTGGTGTGTAGTGTCTGGGGTCTTAAAAGCATGTGAGTGGCCATCTAAGATACAACTATTGGTCTCTACTCATTGAGAGCAAATGAGAAAGGACACCAAAGACTCATAGAAGAAACTAGTCTACAGAACTAATAGTCTACATGAACTACGGCCTCATCTACCCTGAGATCAGAAGAACTAGATGGTGCCTAGCTATCACTACTGACCGTTCTGATCAGGGCCACAATAGATGGGCCCTGATAGAATGGGAGAAAAATGGGGAACAGAACCTCAAATTCCTAATAAAACAACAACAACAATGACAAAAAACAAACAGATGACTTAGACTTACTGGACTGGTTGAGATGGGAAGACTGCCTTAGACTATTGCCCTGAGATACTCTTTAAAGCTTGAACCAAAACTAGCCCCTGATGTCATCTTTTAGCTAAATAACAGATCGGCTCACAAAATAAAGAATATCATCCTTGAGTACTATGCACCCTTAAAAATCATCTATATGAGACCAAATGGACAACAATTACTTTAAAACAAAGATGAGAAGGTAAGGGGGCAGGGAAACCAGATTAATGGAAATGGAACAAACAGAATGGAAATATTAACAATGTTTATGCATTGTGAAGAATGTAACCAACATCACTGAACAATCTGTGTAGAAATTAGTTGAATGGGAAATTAAACTGCTGTGTAAACCTTTACTGAAAACCTGTGAAATATTATTTAAGAAAAAACCCAAAACTCCATGTAATCATGTTATAAATGAAGATTACTTCTAACAAAAAGACCATTTGTATTGGGCCATATGTAGGCTAAACAGTGCAGTATTCCCCAGAATTCCATGAACATCTGCTCCAAGGGACATTAAAGTGTTCCCTGGTAAACAAGTTTGGGAAATACCGAGTCATTCACTGGTAGACTTCTCAGAACCTTTAACATACTAAAGCACTGTCTGCTTTTTCAAGAAAGAGATACAGCATTTATTTCCTACAAACTTACTTGACCATGAGATCCTTTTTATTTGTTTGTTGTATAGATTAGCTTTATGGATCATTGTCCTATGGAGCACACTTCGGGAGATTTAGCAATACTGACAGGCTCCGTTGTCCAGCAGAAAAGAGAAATTTCCAAATTACATCTAGACAACTAAACCCTTAATAATAAGATTTTTAAAATAAAGGAAGGAATAAAACTTAGTTTGATATTTTAAATTTACTTTAGAGTAGGAAAAATAGTAAACTGGTAAAACTTTTAGATGTAGCTTACTTTGAAAGGCTTAAAGAGGTGCATATATTTTTTGGACCCACCTTCTGATAAAATGGCTCAACCTCTAAAAATAAGTAGAAAATTTCACAACATAGAGGAGTCTGAAGCCAAAGAGATGCAAGGCAGCAGAATTAATGGCTCCAACTGTACTTAACATTAAAACTGCTTGCATTTTAGCCATCTTCTTACTAGGATGGTTTTGTGGTTTGGGATCCCTAAGGTAGAATTTATCCTGCGGTCTATGTTGCTTAAATAGATTTCTCTTAGTTCAATAGAATACTCATAGATTGAGCACCTCCTGAATGCCAAGCAGTATGCAAAAAGGAGCAAATGCAAAAAGGAGCAAATAGATTCTTGCCCTTGGGATGATCACAGAGAAGAAAAAACGTAGTGGAGTAACCTTGCAAATGACAGCACAGGGTTATATACTCAGGTTTTGTATGCAATAAGGCAGAAGTCTAGAGGTGCCAGCCACTTACTTCACCTGGAAGATTTGGGGAGCACTTCATGGAAAGGGAACATTTGAGGGATGAACAGGAAGGAAGGACATTTCAGCAAGTAAAATAGAGACACAAATTTGTCATGGTGTCTTCATGGGATGGTAAAAAGTGTTGGTTGGTCGAAGCACAGATTCTGGATCTGATTGTAG